GGCAATTCAAGTGGATGATATTTTTGAAATCGGGAGGAAATTCGAATAACCTTTTTTTAAAAAAAAAATCATGAGAAGCACCCGTGAGGCAATCGTGAGCACCCATAAAATATCTTTGATTTAAAATGTAATAGTAATACCATCTTTAACCTTCTTTATAGCAAAGCGACGTCCATTTACCTGCTTTTTTTAAGTGTAATTTAATTATTTTAAAGGGAAAATCGAGGTGTGCATACTTGGTGAATTATTTCGTCCCTAATATATATATATAGTAGCCAACATCTTAATATATATATATATATATATAGGACATGCCTATAAGTCAAGTATTGCCGTATTGTTATGTAGGTACAATATAAATAATAAATATTATATAATTATGGGCTTTTCATGCGCGTCTGGTCCATCAGCTGTGCCTATGCATTTACCMGGATAATCATAATAAWAAGATGCCTGTGCGGAAATTTATTGCGTTTTTAATATTACATTAAACTGTATTACAATATGGATTTCTTCACCTGTACGCCACGCCGAGTTTAAACGAGCACCGTTTAACACACGTAACACCGCATATTCGTTCTTCCTCCAGCAAAACAATGGGCATATATTATATTATAAAACATGGTGAGTGTAAAAAAAAAATAAAAAAATATTGGAACAATTTAGCACGGGTCGTCGGTGTTGGTGAAAAAAACCGATTGTTTATTTGGTAAGCGAGGCAGTCAGTGCTATTATAATATGTTACATTATCGCTCTAGTTTACAAGTATATACCCATCATAATACACCATGCACATCACTCTTGTATACCTAAATATATATGTATAACCRAACGGTACTTATACACACACATAGSTATCGTAATACTACTCATGTGTAATAATAGTATAATAGCACTCACACAAATACATTATGCATACCTAATGTCATAAACTGCAATAAATACGCTGATAATAATTGCGTACGAAATCATGGGAGGCTATATTATATACGAATAATATCGAACGAGTTTGAAAAAAAAAACAAGCACACACGAACGGACATTTTACACATGGTTTTATAATCGTCTTGAGCTATTGTTAATAACCGCCATTACAAAAAAAATTTAAAAAAACATTCGTAATAATGTAATACACTTGCCATTGTTCTGGACTGTGCATATAAATGCAAGTAACGTGGTAACCGTGGAGCGCGGGATAGATAAAATAGAAATGTGTACACTGAGGCGGTTTCGTCAGGATGTGAGCTCTATTTATTTCGGCGCGGGTTAATACGAAAATGGATGATGTGCAAACACCCATCACGACGAACGGGATACAATAAAACATGGTAGGACTGCAGGTATGTAATACACAACCGGACAGACGTTTTGAAAACTGTGTACAATATAATATATATTATTATTATTAGTATAAATGATGTGTAATTAACGACCGCTAGTTCATTGTATAGCTATTTACTTTTTAATATTATGCGAGCAAGTATCTATGTGTCGACTTCGGCAGCAACGTACCTATACGTAATGATAATTACATAGCTAATATATTCGTAACGTACCTACCTGCCTACTTACCCATACCTTACCTACCGATTGTAGCCTATTATACAGTTCAATTTGCTCTCATAATAATAATATATTATTATACGGTAAGCTGCGCTCAAGAGTGCGGATTTATGAMTATTTAATCAGACAGCTACGCATAGGCATAGTATACGCGTATACAATATTATGGCCACGATTGTATCTTATTAATTATTATACTTTTGTTCATTGAAAATGCGGGTATGACCATCATTATTAGAAATGTATATGTCTTTAATACGATATATGATCCGAGGACACAACTTTATCACTTGGCTATAACTATAAGTACATATATGTATAGGCTATATAGTATTGCATTAAACGAATTGATATATATATATATATATATATATAATATAATATATAGATACTCGTTCTGCAATATCATGCTACACTCACAGACTTGTTAATATATATTATGTGCTGAATGCGATTCCTCCACATACCCTGTAATACCCTACCCATTTGTTGAYTTGTGCCAATATTGTTAGAAAGAGATATAGTCAATACCCGTGCAATAAAATGAGACTTGACTCTACCTAGCATCTTAGTATGATGCTAACTTTTTCCAAAAATTGTATTATCTTTGATGTTGA